GCATATATTCATAGACTTTCATTTTATTCAAAGGGTTTTAAACCTGATACTATCGTTATTTATTTTGGTACTTGCTTCGACTTGGATTTGGCTAGTGGGAATCCTTCCCTTTTTCAGTCGCAGTAAGAAGGCCCTCATAAGACACAGAGTGTCGGGGCCTTGATCTTGGACACTTGATACTTCGCAGCTTCCAGAACTATGTGAAATAAGTTTCTTGTCTTTTCAAATTACCCAGCATCAGGTATTTGGTTATAGCAGCACAGACTATGATGACCATACTGTCTCAAGCTCCATTTATTTGCCTTCCATTTATATTTCTAACCAGGGAAAACTGAGTTTAATATGCCCTGTCCCCAAACTGAAATTTACCTCCTCTCTCCAGGATCAGCTGTAAAGGTCAGGCGAACGTCGGAGGAAAAGACCACCAAGAGACTGTCTCATGCAACAGCAAAGGGTTTATTGGGGGTCCAGCATGCTGGGGCTCCAAGCCTACCTCGAAGAGGTAAAGAGCAAAGAGCCCCGAGAACAGCTTGAGCGGAGCTTATATACATTCTTTGAAAAGGGCAGGGACTTCACATACAGCATAACAAATCACCTCACGCCACGGGAAAATCAAACAACAACTCTAAAACATGATTAGCACATTCACTGGCGGGAACAAGTTAGGTAGGGGTGATTGGTCAGTACAAAAGGGGTATTCGTTTGAACTGATTGGTTTAAGCCAAGAGGGGTGTACGTGCTGAACTACATGGTTTCCCAACAGGTTATCAACTACCATAAACTACTGGGAGGGTTATCTGGCATCCCAGGTATTTCCCTGTCTCATGCTGATTGGTGGCTGCTAGGGGGCTGCTATGGATCCCCACCTAGCCTGACTGAGTCAGGGACACCTGGCGCAGCAGATCTCTCCTGTAGATAAACAACTTAGCAGGGTGGGAATGTGCCTAGGAGTGCTTTGTGGGTTTTTCCAAGGACAAAGGCCATGTCCCTTCCTTGGACAGCTTTGCTCTGAGATAGAGGCTGGCTTTTCACAGCAACAATCAGGACTGAGGCTAGCCCATACTAACACTTTTGTACAAACTTGAAAAATGACAGTTGGATCTGTCAGAAAACAGTCATCTGGAGCATACCCATCTTCAATATCCTCAGTGTGCATGGTGCCTACAACCATGTGTGGGGACTCCATCAGGTGCCTCCTTCCAGCTATCCTGAAGGATATATTGTGACCACTCCTACTTCCTGAATTCCTGTCTTCCTTTGGCAACTGTGATACCACACCACAAATTCTTGAGGCTGGGTGGGTGTCCTCTCCCAGAGCTTTGCTCCTTTCTCATTCCTTCAGGCTCTTCTTCTTTAATATTTATTTCATTTCAGAGTCCTGTCTGCTTTGTCCTCCTTTGTTACTTAATTCATCTCTCTGAATGATGTCAATCACTTTCATTCAACATTTACTTGTGCCCTCTCTGTCAGGCATTGCTTTAGGCACTGACCACTTGCAATTTCTAAGTACACACCCCGCCCGATGAATTACAAATGTGTCCCTCCCGGGGTGATGTATACAACTGCCTCCTTGAACTTGACCTTGACCTTGGATACCTCCAACTTTAATTGTTGAGAACTGAGCTCATTATTCTCCTCTCCAGATCTATTCCTCTTCCTGGGTTTTCCTGTTCTAGCAAATCATGCACAAATAGTTGCCTGCACCTATTTGTGCATGATTTGCACAAAGAAAGAAGTCTTATCTCTCTGCTTCCTACCTATGTCCAAGCTTCACTCACTCCTTCCCATCACTGTCCCTACCACTCCGGTCTCCACTGCAGTCTACACTGTTATCATCCTCTCTCTTATAGAAGGCTGCAGCAGGCTCCTACTTCTCACTGCCTCCTGGCCTTCTGCCCGGGCATTCATCCAGGGGACTCTTCCCATGACAAAAGGCTGATGATGTCCATCCAGCTCCCTATGGTTCCTTGGCTCTCAGAATTTAAGGGCTGGGGATGCAGCTCAGTGGTTGAGAGAATTTCCCTACTTCCCTTGTATGCACGAGGCCTTGGGTTCCATCTCCAGCGGTGCAAAAAGAAGAAGGAGGAAGAGAAAGAGAAGAAAAAGAAGAGGAAGAAGAAGAAGAAGGAGAAGAGGAGGAAGAGGAAGAGGAGAAAGAAGATGGAGGAGGAGGAGGAGGAGAAGAAGAAGAATTAAATTCTAATTCTTCACTATGGTTTATAAGGAGAATCATGATTAGGCATCTCTTTCTACTTCTCTGCTTTCATTTCTATCTCCTCCTTTCCTTCATTCTCTTTCACTCTTCCATTCTTCCCTCCCCACCTACTGAACTCCTTTTAGTTCCTTTAACATGTTCTCTTGTAGTCTCTGGACCTTACCTTGCCTCTGCTGGAACAGCCCCTTTGCTGCTCCTCTACCCCTTCACCTACAAACTGAGTTTATTATGACCTGCCCCCAAACTGTTATTCACCTCCTCTCTCCAGGATCAGCAACGCAACCACCGGGGCTGAGGCTAGCCCACACTAATGCTTTCATATGAACTTGGAAAAAATGGTACTATTGAAGCCAGATTTAAAGTTAGGTAGTCAGTGTAGTTAGGTAAATCGGGTCTAATATGGGTCTAATATCAGTGAAATCTAAAATGGAGGCCGTGCGGAGAATGACTCAGGGAAAACACAGGACAACTCATGGAATGTTAATGAAGTCCTGAAAAGGCCCTAGGCCAAAGTCCACCTCAAAGAAAGGTTAATGAACAGCCCCCAGCAAAAAGGTGCTGACTCAGAAGTCCTTCCTGACCAGATTACTTCTTTGGCCCACCTGTGTCCCACCCCTCGGTCCTTCCCACCTACATTCCATCACTGAAAGAACTATAAAAAGGGGAGACAACATCCCTTCCACGGATTCCACCTCTTGGGTCCCCTTCTTCCTCTGGGAGAAGTCTTTTCTGCTGTCCTTTAATAAACTTCTAATTTCTACTCTGACCTTGCCTCGGCGTGCTTCTTTGGTGTTATTCTTCAACATTGGGGAAGCAAGAACTTGTCACCGGTCAACAGCGGTAACATATTGGAGGTCCCATCTTTCCCATCATCTCTATATGTCTTTGCATTAGTGCAAATGATAGAAAACAAACTATCAGAAAGAAGTGGAGAGAATGCTCTGTCTCACCTGCTCCCTTTATTTTCTTAAACAAATAGCATAAACAACACACATAATTCTTTCCTTCCTTTTTTCTTCCTTTTGGTACTAGGGATTGAATTAGGGGCAGTCTACCACACAGCTATATTCCCAACCCTTTTTATTTTTTGAGACAAAGTCTCATTAAGTTGCTGAGGCTGGCCTTGAACTTGTAGTCCTCCTGCCTCAGTCTTCTGGCTGAGTCACAGAGTAAAGTAAAGATGAAAACAAAATGACAGTGAATCCTCTGGGCAACAAATAGACATAGTATTTTTATTTTTTTAATATTTTTTTTTAGTTATAGTTTGACACAATACCTTTATTTTATTTATTTATTTTTATGTGGTTCTGAGGATCAAACCCAGGGTCTCGCATGTGCTAGGCGAGCACTCTACCACTGAGCCACAACCCCAGCCCCAAGGCCGAGTATTTTCCTAGGTGCTGCAATATTAGTTTCTATAGCCAGTGTCTACTGATACTTTTATTCTTAAGTTTTCTATCTCTGTTGCTATTTTCAATTTCTCCTCTCTCTCTCTCTCTTTCTTTTTGTTTTAGGGTACCAGGGATTGAACTCAGGGGCACTCAGCCACTGAGTCACATCCTATCCCTATTTTGTATTTTATTAGAGACAGGGTCTCACTGAGTTGCTTAGCAATTCCCTAAATTGCTGAGGATGGCTTTGAACTCGCGATCCTCCTGCCTCTGCCTCCCTAGCCGCTGGGATTACAGGCATGCGCCACCTCGCTGGGCTGTTTTCAATCTCTTTTTGAACAGTAGTATGGGCTGGGCACAGTGGCCCGCATCTGTAATCCCAGCAACTCAGAGGCTGAGGATGATCCCAAGTGCACAGCCAGCCTCAGCAACTTAGGCCCTGTCTCAAACTAAAACATAAAAGGGTGTGTGTGTGTGTGTGTTTGTGGTTTCGTGGTTAAGCACCCCTGGGTTTAATCCAGAGTACCCCCTGCCCCATTTTTTTTTTTTTTTTGAGAGCCCACATCCCATCTCATCAGTCTGGGGTGGTGCCTAGTGTGGGGATTTGTTAAAGCTCTTGGATTTATTGCAGCAAAGGTTAAGAACCTCTGGTTTAAACTACTTGGTCCTCCTCTGACAGTGTTTAGCATTCTCATATAGGTGTAATTGTAATCTTTGGTCAGATTGAATAACATTCTATTTGTCAGGGAGGAGAGAAGTTTGGTTTCACCCACAAACAAGGACCAGTCAGGTCCTGGTAAAGCAATGAGGGGGCAAGTCCTGCCTCTAAAGTGGGTGAGGGGACTCCCCCACCCCCACCCAGCCAGCCAAGGACCTAGGGCCCCCGATAATCCAAGTTCGCTGAGAAGTTCAGGGGCATCTAAGTGTGCATTGTGTATACAAGTGAGGCAAAGGTGAGCACTTCGAGCTCTGGTCCATGTGGGTTAACCTTAGAGTCAACCTAAGAGTCTCTCTGGAGTCCAAATCGCAGAGTGGCAGCTGTTCCCGAGTAGGCAGAAAGGAGCGTGCAGGGGGTGCAGGGCAGCCTCCAGAGTTGGGCATGCAAGTCTCTGCGCCAAGACCCAGGTCTGCACGTGGCGCGGTGAGGGCAGCGGTTCTGGGGCACGCAGTGGTCGGTGGTGTGGACTACAAGTCCCGACATGCCTCGGGCAGGGGTGCGCTTGCACAGGAGCGGGGCTAGGAGGCCAGGGCCAGGCGTGCGCAGTGGTTGTTGGGAGTGGCGGGGCGGGTCTTCCCCGGCTGTCATCTGTGGCCCCCGGCGCTCGGGCAGGGGTGGCCGTGTCTATTGGCGGAGAGGCAGGCAGGGCGGGTCGTCGCGAGCCGCTGCGGGCGAGGCTGAGCGGGTGGAGGCCGGCAGCCGGCCGGGGAGGCACAGTCTGGGCTGCTGCATACCGGTCTGGCCATGGCAGCGGCACCTCTGAAAGTGTGCATCGTGGGCTCGGGGAACTGGTGAGCGGAGGCGGGCTGGCGGCGCGGGCTCCGCCTCCAGGAAGCCCCTTTCCCTGGCGGTCTAGAGCTGCGCTCCCCGCAGCAGCGTGGGCACCGGGCACCGCGCGCGGGGAGGCGGGGTGGACGACCTCGGGGCCAGGCTGGGCACTGCGCGCCAGGGGAGGCCGCACCGAGGTCCTAGCCGGGGAATCTCTGGGCCCTCGTGCCCGCGGGGGCAACGCAGACCGAGGGCACCGCGCGCCCATGGGCACCTGTCCGCGCTTAGGTAGCCGCGCGGCGAGCGCACTGAAGCCACCTGCTCACCACGCCCTGATGTTTTGCGCAATCTTCTGAGGTCGTTCTCAATTCTCCCTACCGATCGCCTGGGTCGAGGAATTGAAGGAGGCCCAAGAATTAGTGTAGTTTTGATGTTGGGCAGACCGAAGCACAGAGGGCTTGCTATTCGGGTCTCTGGCGGGGCAAGCTCTGCCCATTAAGGTATGGTTCTCATCTCCGCTTCTGATAACGGCCAGTATCTTGGTAACGTGGTATCAGGAAGAAGATCCAAGTTCCAACGGGCCTTGTTTCCCCGGGGACCTTGAGAGTTCTTCTATGGGGAGATGTTTGCAAAGCTTTGCATTTCCAGGGCTTGATTTGACTTTAACCTTTATAAAGCACTATGTGCAAGGCGCTCTTGCACTTCACAGTGTCAGCTCCTTAGTAGCTCCCTTTATCGAACTCACATGGTGTGATTCTTTGGTGTGTTTGGGTGAATGCAGAGGAGCATGGGGAGGAAAGGAGGCAGAATATAGCCTTGGCATTTTCAAGCTCTTTATCTTTGCTTCACTTCTCTTCCCACTTCTGAGGGAGTGGTACAGAATCATTTGGAGTCACTGTGCCCTTTCCCTTTCAGTGCGTTTGTTTACCTGTGTTTCTGTGGCCTGACTCACATCCCGGTTCAGCCTTCTAGAAGTGCTGCAGGCATGGGCACATGGTATTTGGTCTCGGACTTACTTTTTTAATACAGAGAAAAATACTTCTCTGAAGAAACCTGAACCTGGTTTTCCACTTTTCCATCCCATCAAAGAATGAACTTTCTCTGAACCCCTATTGCTGATCTCTGTCCATGCACTGAAATGATTTAATTATTGGTCTCTACTCCTTCCTCCCCCACTTGAGATTGAACTCAGGGGTGTTCTCCCACAGAGCTACATCCCCGTTCCTATTTAATTATTTAGAGGCAGAATCTTGCTAAGTTGGGAGGCTGGCCTCAAACTTGAACGTGTGATCTTCCTACCTCAGCCTCCTGAGTAGCTAGGATTATAGGCCAGTGCCACCCAGCTTCACTGCCCAGCTCAAGGCTAACATCTACCTTAGTGCCCTCCAAAATGCTAAGTAAATGCTAAATCAATGTCTGAAAACTACTTATTTATTTATTTTATTTATTTTTGGTGCTGGAGATCAAGCCCAGGGCCTTGTGCATGCAAGGCAAGCACTCTACCAACTGAACTATATATCCCCAGCCCTGAAAACTATTTTTTAATTTTTATTTTTGGTGCTGGAGATAAACCCAGGGCCTATGCCATGCTAAGCACATACTGTACCTTTGAGTTATACCCCATCCCCCAAAGTAATTTTAAACCTCGTATTGTATTTGATTAGGAGCTCATTTACTTTTTTTTGTGTATGTGTTTGTATAGTGCTGGGGATCAAACCCACAGCTTCACACATAGTAGGCAAGCACTCTGATACCCCAGATCTTTATTTTTTGTATTTATTTTTTAGTTGTAGTTGGACACAACACCTTTATTTCACTTGTTTATTTTTGTATGTGGTGCTGAGGATTGAACCCAGGGTCTCCCAAGTGCGAGGCGAGTCGAGTGCTCTACCCCTGAGCCACAACCCCAGCCCCCACCCCAGACCTTTTTTTTTTGAGCCAGGGCATTGTTAAGTGGCTGAGGCTGGCCTTGAACTTGTGATCCTCCTGCCTCAGCCTCTTTACAGGAACTACAGTTTTTTTTTTTTTTAATAAACTAAAAGGTACAATGAAACATCTCCCATCCACTTTTATCCCCCCAGGAACCTTCTGAAGGAAAATCAGTGTTGATCTCTTCTGACCTTTCTGGAGGAATTCTGTCAGACACAAGTGAATGTTTATATGTGTTCTTTTCTCCCTTTATTCTACAAATCAAGAGTACTGGGCACTTTTTTTTTCAACCAACAAGGGAAAGTTGTGCACGTTTCATGGAGTCAGTACCTATCCAGTGCAGAGCTTAATTCAGAGGTTTCAGCTTGACTTTGCCAATTTGGGTCTCAAGGTCACTTCAATAAGATGTCAGCTGCCCTGTTGGACATGCCACTGGAAAAGCACCCATTTAGCACATGTTCTTTTAAAATTAGTTTCCCCTCCTATAAAATTCCATGGATGACAGCCCTCTTTCCTAATTTAGAAGGTGCAGGTAAAAGTGGCACAGCTTTGCCATGCTGGATTTGAGCCCGAGTGATAGTAGTGAAGCGAACCTCCTTACCCTCCACTGAGATTTGGCTGCAGGCCCCTGGCTTCTTCATTCTGATGTACTTGACTGTTTTCTTGGCCCACTCCAGCCTGGGGAAATGGACTAGAACTTGGCCAGTGACTCTGAAGCAGAGCAATTGAGAAATAAGCCCATAGTTAGGGCTGGGTGCCTGGCTTCATTAATCACAGGATCAGACAGGAACAGATGTTGGCATCTCTGCCATTGCCTTGGTTGGGTACAGAGCCACTCTAGTCCTAGAGAGAGGATCACAGCCTCCCCAGAGAAATTCAGGGACTTAGGAGCTGAGTTCAAGCCATAGAGCCCCCAAAGGGTACATGAAGTGTTCAGTTATGGTTCAGTAGATATTGGAGTGTTTTTCCCAAGTAGTTACTGTATTCTTTACAGCAATACACTAGACAGAGTCCCTGCCAGTAGGAAACTTACCTTCAGGGCTTGGAAGATAAGATCGAAAGAAATATAATGTGGAATGGAGATTTGTCACAAGGTTAAACGTTACATTTTAAATAGTATTTCTTAAAGAGTACATTTTTTTGAAGACCACTTGTACCTGGATTACCACTGAAATTAGATTTGCTGAATCATATTCCCTGAGGGTAGGAAGGATTTTTTTCCCTAAGGGACTTTAGCCTTTCATTAATAAAATATATCTCTAGAAGCTGGATTTACCCATCCAGATCTGGTCCCTATCTCAGGAACCTAAATGTTCCTTGAACAATATTTACCCTGAGGACTTTGAAGTAGATCCCGCTGCTTATATAAATAAAGGTGTTGTTACTTATAAGCTCATAGTTGAAAGGCAGCTGTAACTCACATGGAGCCTCCCCCAGGTCACCCGTCATCTGTGGCAGGGAATCCAGCTGGCTTGCCAAGGCCGTTCAACGAGGAAGGACCTGGGTGGGAAGGTAAAGCGAGTTGTGTAAGATGGCCTAGTCCTGTCCTTTGGTCAACCTTTTCCTCCAGATAATTCAGGGACAGAAGGCTGGTGTATCTGGCTGAGCCCTTTGGTCCCACCCATTGTGAGGGACAGGGAAGGGTCACTTAACATGCCTGACTTTCCATGCCCTGTCACTTGTAACTTGGCAAAAAACAAAAGCTTGGCAGATTCTTCCAAAGATGTTACAGTTTCTTTCTCAGCCCCTGTGAAGATCACCCAGACACAGGGCAAACCATGGTTCTAAAACTTAAACCTCAGTTATATTTACTGCCAAACCTCTGTAATGGGAGCATATGTCCAAAGACATAGCCCCAGCCTCTTTTGTAAGGCAGGGTCGCGCAGTAGGATGAGGGGCCCAGATTTCCACCCTAGTCCCCTATTTGGCAGCTTCAAGTCCTTGGCAAATGGCTCCTATGAATGATTGCTTATACTATTGGTACCTGCTGTCTAGGATTTTGTTTAGAATTGTTGCTAAAAGCAGAGAAGATCAGGGAGGAGATTAGGAAGAAGAAGGTTAGGGAAAAGAAGCTCAGGGAGGAGAAGGTTGGGAAAAAGAAAAAGAAACATGTATGTTTCAAAGCCACAAGAGATAGAGCCAACGCATCAAGTGAAACCTTGTTACAGGATTACATGAGATGATCCAGGGAGAGTCAATGGTGGCTAGCGCTCAGTCAGTGTCCACTGCTGTTACCATTATTAGTTTCATCATTCTTGAGCCATCCCAACATGAAGTCACAAAATGGACCAGATTGGAATCTGGCCAAGTAGTACAGGCAGAGGCTGGGAAAGGGGACAAGAAGAGTGACTGCTACACAGCTGGAGGAGTTTCCCCAGGAGTGACCTTGTTTTCACATCAGCCCACAGCCTGACATCTTCCTCAGGCTGAAAGGTCAGGGCGAGTGCTGGCCCTCTTTGCACTGATGCTGGAAGCAGGACTTAACTCTGCTAGAACCTACAAAATGCACCACCTGAGCTCATCATTCACCTCTGCCATCCCTTTGCCTGTGCTATTCCATTTCTGCCATGATGCATGCTACCCAGAGATCTAAGAAACAGTCTGAGCAACTAATTTAGCTCCTCTGTGGTCAGAAGTAATTGCTTCCTTCCCTGTAAACAGGCCACACTGACACTCTTCTGCTTTGGTAGCTGGAGGGAGAGTTTGATGACAGGGTAGGTTAGAGCTGTGAGGATATTCAGGGTCCCCTCCTGGTCTGGGGCAGGAACATTCATACACATACAGCATAATTTAAAAAAGGAATTGATGAAGCCAGGCTGTGGTGGCAACTGTACAACTGTAATCCCAGCAACTCAGGAGGCCACACCTGGAGGATCACAAGTTTGAGGCCAGACTCACAACTTGTCAAGACCCTGTCTCAAAATGAAAAACAGGGGATATAGCTCAGAGGTAAAGCAGCCCTGGGTTCAAACTCTAATACAAAAACAAACAAAAGAAGTGGCACTTAATGACCTGTTTCTATCACCTCCCCAACCTATTCTAACATAAAAATCACAAGGACTACTCTAGAAGTAGGAGTGGTCTGTTTTCTTAA